TATAATCACAAAGTTGGCAAATTATGCTTGAAAACAGAGTGCAACAAGGGGATGCCCCGATTCAGAAAGTTCAACCAGACAGGTATGTTCATGTGCCTTGAACCAAAACAGCTTAAAAAATTGTATCAGAAAACCCTTCTAGTCTTCCTACATTAAGAAAAAACAGTTTAAAAAGGTAAAGATGGAAGTCAATAAACCCAGAAATAAGCCATGTGCTCATAGGCTGTTAGTTAAATCTAAACCAAATCTAGTCAAACTGACTCAACATGCCAGAGAAAACAATGTCTGAGCAAACAGCAGTCTAACTAGAGCCAAAAGTCATTGCCAGGCCACATGTGGAACACCCAAATCAATTCTTGGTGACTCTGGAGTTTGCATCATGCAGTAATTATTACTTTAAGACTGTTTTGTTCAGTCCAAATGAAGTTCTATTGTACTGTGAGATGGAAAACCTCAGCTTCTTTTCTTTGCCAACATGCAAACTCTCTTTCTCAAGCACACGGAAAAACTCAGGTCTGGATTCTTTCTTTAGCCCAAGCTTTCCTTTACTCAACTTGAATGTCAGGGAGAAAAAAGGATGGATACCAGTAAATTATACTGTGATACTTGACAGTATACAGAAAACACCTGAAATCATGGAATGGTTTGGGTTGGAAGGGGCCTTTAGAGGTCATCTAGTCCAACCCCCCTGTAGTAAGCAGGGTCATCTTTGACTCAATCAGGTCGTTCAGAGCCCCGTCCAGCCTGACCTTGAATGCTTCCAGGGATGGGGCATTTACCACCTTTCTGGGCAACCTGTCCCAGTGCTTATCACCCTCATTGTAAAGAATTTATTCCTTACATCTAGTCTGAATCTACCCTCTTTTAGTTTAAAACCATTACCCCTTGTCCTATCGTTACAGGCCCCACTAAAAAGGCTGTCCCCAAATATAACTTACCAAAAAAGTGGCAAGAGGGGGAGGCAAAATAGAAAATGGGGGCATTAGGTAGCTTAACAAATCTTAACAGCGTCAAGTCATGAATTCTGACTAATCAGAGAACTGGAATCTGTACTGGAGCTTTTTCAAAGTCAGTCCATGCTAATAAGCAGGAAAAACCATCTACTTAATCATTCTAGAGCACAAACACACACACACAAGCAAACACCTTTTATCACACCATCTGTTAGGCAGTATACACTTGAAACAAAGGCTTATGCTTGACGGAAGCCCAAAACAAAACAATGAACCCTAGTCACCCCTGGGAAAAGTGAAAACTTAAAACTACAATGAAAACAAGCTAAACATTTATTATTGACATTAATAAACAGAGTGTATGTTAATTTTCATACATCCAAACACTGTATTTTAACCATAAATAAATACTACTAGGGCTAAAATCACAGTACTCAGAGTCCTAAAATGCCACAAGGAAATCACTGCATACATACAACTACCTAATGAGACTACTTAACAACATTATTCAGTGGATTGCATTATTTGACCAGTTTTAACAGTCAAACACAGCAACTGAACAACAGATTCAAATACACACTGCATTTGACGTATATGTAGAAACACAAGTCTCAATGGCTGTAGAATCAGTCAGTTCCTTCCACTCAATATATCCAAAACCATTTCACGCTCCCGATGAAAGTACACAGAAAAAAATACGCTCTCTACAATGAAAGCACTAATGAATCAAAACCCAAGGTCAATCTAAAAAAAGTACTCCTCACAAGACTATTACCGAGTTTCATTACAGTCTTACTCCAGTCAGGCAAACAACTTCCTCCAATAGAGCAAAATACCTTCAAACATTAATTCAAACTTCAAAACGTTTAAAGGAATTAAAGGAATAACTACAGCAAAAAGCCTGACGATGCACGTTACTATGGAGCTATCATACTAACAGATTATTTCACCGTGTAAATCATACAATGCTAAATGCTTTTTAAAAATGCAACCAACAGTAAGGTGTTAGCAAAGCAGCAGCAGGCAGTAAGAGAGAAGGCATTTTTTTGTGCTATCACTAGAACAATTTCCTGACTCATTCCATCCTCCAGCCCCACGGACCAGGCTGGCTCAATCCACGCTGACAGCCTTCATGATGTAACCAAATCAGAGCACTGACCTAAATGCCGTTGCCGTTGAGCTCCTTGCAGCTCATGCTCGAGGAAAAGGGGCCAATACTGATTCAAAAGCTAGCATCAAATACTCGAGCTATTTCAGCCCAAGACTGCTAGTGCAGAAATGCTCCCTGAGACCGAGAGCCCCACATCACCTCAACCTCTTGAGGCTGAAACCTCCAAAAACCGACTGTAAGGCAAACTCTAGGCTGCTTAAGAGATTTTCAAAAGGGAGCCTGCACATCACCGCAGCACTTCGGTAGAAGCAGAACTGGCAGAACCAGCGTTTCGGTGCTAGGAGAGAGAGACCCAAGGCACCGAGCCTCGGACAAGGTTAAGCCACGTCCTGGGCGTGATTTTAAGCAGGTGTTCAGTGAATTGCAGATTAATCCTCAACTCCCTGCCCCGAGCAACATGCAAAGGCATTGCCAGGAGCGATGCGGCTGCGAGGGGGCAGCGCGGTCCCTCCCATCACCGGGGCGGGCGCTGCGGGG